TGCAGAGCAAGGAAGAATGTAATACAGAAAACACAGCATTGAGGGAAATAGCAAGCAGGCTTGTATTCTGTGCTCCTTTAAGAGGAAACATGTGCTTAGCTTTCCAGGATTTGGAGAGTGTCCGGGAGTTCTCTGTATGTACAGTGGGCTGATCTTAGGGAAATGAGCAACAGTGACTCACCACACTGCTGGATGGAATCTGCGCATGCACACAGCTGTCATCCCGTAGTTTTAAGCACATGTATAAGATGCAGGGCATGTGCAAGAAGCCCTGCATAGGAGTTTGTTGGGCAAAGGTGAGGCTAAGGATGCACAAGGATCTGCTGTGCAGGTGGCTTCATCTTGGTTGGAACTGGCCGAAGGTTTCCCTACCACTAGGAAAAATCCCAGCTATCAGCTGAGCACTAATCACCCTCAAGGTTAAACTGCCATAGTAGGGCTTGGAAAGAGGTAGGAGTGGGACATGACTAGAGAGGGTGTTGGTTTCAGCGTTCTTTCCCTAGGCTTGCCTGCCCACAGTCAGGTGGTTTGTTCTCTGCACTGGTCTCCAGAGGACATGAACACATAGGACCCCATGGATGCTCTGGTCTCAAGCCAGAGCATATTTTTGCAATCCTGGCTTGATATTATGTGTGGAAACGGAAGTTTCAAACCTAAGGAAAATTCACAGGAACAGAGTGGGGAACCTCAAGGTGTCTTTCACCTGCAGATTCCACTCAAGTTTTCACTCACAGGATGGTGTTCTACCACTTGAGGCATGCCTCTAGTCCCCACTCAAGTTGTACAAGTTATCCTGGGTGCATCTTATGGTCTAACTCTACCCAATAGTTCAGTCTCCCAGTCTGAAACTCTTTCATAGTTGTTCTTTCTTGGATGACTTGGACATTTTTTTAAGACTCTAAGTTATCAGTTTAGTAGATTATCTGTCTGTCTGTCTGTCTGTCTATTTGGTGACAATTGTGGGGTTTGAACTCAGGGCCTGGATGCTATCCTTGAACTTTATTTAATTTTTTGTTCAAGGCTAGCTCTTTTCCACTTTAGCCACAGTGCCATTTCTGAGTGGCTTTGGCCCATATTCCTCATATCTCAGCCTCCTGAGTATCTAGGATTACAGGCATGAGCCATTGGTGCTGGGCAAGTACAATATCTTTCAACTGGGTTTATTAAAAGATAATTTGTTAAAGATTATTTCCAGAGAAAATACAGATACACATATGAACAGGTGGTAAAAAGAATTTAGATATTTGAAATGAGAGAACTAGGCAGAAGTTATAATCGTTTCAAGAAAAAAATCAAAAGACTACAAGTTATATATGGAGGAAAGAAGATGGAGGTGAATTGCAATTGGAGGCCAAACTGGTTTTCTATCAGCAGGCAGAAGCCAATTAAATCACTTTCAGAGGGGATGGATGGAGCCAGGGATTGATTCCTTCCTTCCTTCCTTTCCTTTCCTTCCTTTCCTTCTTTCCATTGCCTATCCATCATTTATTTGCCCATCCATCTGTTCATCCATCCACCATCCATTCTTTTATTTCCCTCCCTCCCTCCTTCCCTCCCTCCCTCCCTTCCTTCCTTCTTTTCTCCCTTCCTCCCTCCCTTCCTTCCTCTCCCTTCCATCTTCTGCCTGCTTGCCTGCCTGCCTGCCTGCCATCTACCTACCTATACATTGTAAAACAGCTCAAAGACAGTGGGACTAGAATCTGATGACCCAGGAGGGTATGTTACAGATACTGCAGTTTTGCCATTGACACATACACATCTTCCTACTGGTTTGTATCATTTTCTCATAACTGGACCCATATTATATCTTTGGCTAGACTTTCACTAGTACCTGTGGGTTCAGATTATTTCTCTTCCACTATGTCCTATTTGTGGCACATAAGTACAACAGGTATTTTAGCAAACTGCAGGGCCTTCTCTTACAAGACCAAGACAGTCAGCTGGCATATTACAAGAGAAAGCTACTCAGTCATTGTTTTAAGCCCTGTTCCTTTGGACTTCTTATTACCCATGGGGGTTTCTCCTCATCAACCATGAACCCAGATTGGTTCAAATAGAGCTACTTGTAAGTAAATGTGATGGCTGGTGTAAGTAATTAGTTTGTTCCTTGTGTTTCTGTTGCTTCCTATCATGATTTAATGCCCATTTATCCCTTTGAATGATGTATTGAAATGCACTGAGTGGCTGAGGAGCAGTTTGGCCCTCCTAATTCTAATCCTGAGTTTTCTTCCAGATACATTGTTTGTATGAATTGACTATCACTGCTTTTAAACATGTTCCTCATGGTTGTTTTTAAATTTTACAGCCAATACCAGAAATTGCAGAAGATTATGAAGCCTTGGTAAGAATATATACTTAAATTATGTTATAATCTTAATACTTCCTTTTTTCCTGTCTGCATAATTAAAACCTGTCCTCTGGCTTACTTTATAACTATGCATCTACATATTTTGAGTAAGTTACTTTTTTCCTTTTTGTTCGATGTTCCTATAAACAGTTTTTTTTAAAAAATGAATCTACTTCCTTGTTTGTTTGTTTGTTTCCCTCGTGGCAGAGAGTATTTATTGTTGGTTACCACTAAATGATTACACAGGCTTTCCTCCCTCTTCCCTTCCCCTATAGCACTTCTGGATAGAGTTTTGTGCTTTCTTCTTTTGTGGCTTATGTGATGTTCAGAGATTGAAGGCTTTGGTTTTTATCAGTGACTCAGAAAGAAGGAAAAGCACTACATCTAAAAAGTATTTGAGACTGATGCATAGATTGAAAAATATTTGTTCTAGATCACTTGTGTGCTGATTCCACTCCTGATAATTCTCCTCTTCCATGTGCTCTTCCTCCTTCTTTTGTGTTGCTACTTGAGTTTGAACTTAGGACCTTATGCTGTTGCTTAGCTTCCTTGCTCATAGCTAGTACTTCACCGCTTGAGGCACACCTTCATTTCTAGCGTTTTACTTGTTAATTGGGGATAAAAGTCTCATAGATTTGTCTGCCAGGGCTGGCTTTGAACCGTGATCCTCATATCTCAGCTTAGTGAGTAGCTAGGATTACAGGCATGAGCCTGTAGGATAGCTTTAAAAGTTGCCTTTCCTTTCTTTTCTCCAGTCTGTATTGGGTACATCATTCCATGGAAACATTGGGATGCACTCTGCTGTGAAAAAGTTGGCAGCATAAATTTAGATGCTTGTTTTGAGACTGGCTGGATTTTTCTGGAAGGAAGATGATCCCTAGTAAGTTGAGAAACATTTCGTTGAGTCATTGCAGCACACATGGTGTGCGGCTGGCTGTGACAGAGACGGTGGCCCAGTATGTAGTTTGCAGACGCTTCCCTTTGTGGCAGTCACTACTGTAAAAGTCTTTAGCCTAGCACATAATAAAAACAAATAAACCCAGTAAATAAAAATGTTCCAGAATGTGCCAAGTGCTTGCTTTTCTTTTCTAGTGCTTTCCAAGCATGGTGTCCTATACAGATGGAGTGTGGCGGGCGGAAGCTGGCTTCTGCCTTCTCTCCTGGGAGTCTGAATCTCTCCTCTCTGGAAGTGGAGATGGATACCCCGATGTGAGGGTTCCAGGACAGCTCTTCCAGTCACCTGATATGAAAAAGGGCCTTTCTTTTGAAATGTAACCATATTTGAACATGCCATCCTTTTCTTGTTGCTGAAGGTTTGAAGTTGAAGTCTGAAAAGCTCTTCCTCAGGAAAAAGATAACTTATTCCAGGGAAATAGATGTTTAATATAGAGAACTACATACAGTGTATTATATAATGTTCTATCACACATATGTGTATTATGCATTTTATTATGTAGTATATGAACATTTTACATATTTTTATATTGAATGTATTTGTATCTTATATGCACATGTATGTATTTTATAAGGAGGTCATATAATTCTAGTTATCATTTATGTATACCTATCATCTATGTATCTATCTATGTAATATCTCTCTTTTATCATCTACAAATCTATTTTCTATCATTTCTATCTTGGATCAATTCTTTCTCTGTCTCTGTCTTCTATCGTCAATATGTCCCGTCTGTCTGTCTATCTCTCACATTACTGAGTGGACCAGGTCACTTCCTGTGACCTCCTCAGTGGGTGAGTGACATGAAATGCCCTTTCTCCCACTTGTTAATCACTCACAGAAATGGACCACTGTAAGTATGGAGAGCCTTACCTGCCATCTCTGAAACAGTGTTTCACTTCCCTGATAGCCATAGAGAGGGTATCCTGATCCCCAACACCACTTGGAGATCTGGAAAACACATGACGTTCTTCCTACTTTCCATCCTACCCCCAAAGGTCCTTAAAGCCTGCCTGGAGAGTCTATAGACAAACTGGATTTCTTTAGGGCAGATTGATTGTCCTCAGATGGGCTCCTTCTGGCCATTTAGATTAGCCTTTCATTGAGCAGGTAGGTAAGAAGTAGAGACATTTGCTTTCAGATAATTAGAGGGAAGACATTTGCTCTTAAAGTAGCTACGGAAGACTAATATCTGGACACAAGTTTATTTGTATTCCCAGGCCAGGAGGCTAACTGGGAATGTCAAGAAGCATTTGAGCCAGGCACAGTAGCTCATGTCTGTAATCGGAGCTACTCAAGAGGATGAAATCGGGATTTTTTGGCGCTACTGTGGTCAAAAAGTTCTCTGTACTCCTTTTTAGCCAATGAAAACCTGGGTATGGTGATGTCATCCCAGGTACAATGGGAAACATGAACAGAAAGTTTGTCATCCAAGCCAGCCTGGGCATAAATGTGAGACCCTGTTTGAAACATGACTATAGCATAAAGGGCTAGGTATGTGGCTCAAATGGTGGAGCGCCGGCTGAATGAGTGCAAAGCCCTGAGCTCAAACCCCAGTGCTGTCAATAAAACAAAACAGAAGACCAGCTTGAGCCCAATTGTGGGCTCATTCCTTTTCTTTCTGTTCTCTCCTGGTTCTCTAAATGCTGTCTTTAACCGCTGACACCAAGGCAAAGATCTTGGTCTGAGTGGAGTCTGTGGCAGGTATGTGAAGAACCTGTAGCATTTCGAATCTTATTATGTCAGATTTGAGCAAATGCCAACTATTCATTATTATGTGATTGTTTTTCTCTTCGTGTGTAAGTTAACAAAGTATTTATTGCTACTAATACATTATTATGTAATAATGTTTTCACAGTACTGTAATACTGACTCCTGTCCAGTTTCTATTCATACATCTTACTAATTGCATTTATCTTATTTTTCCTAAGGCAGTTTCTGTTAGTTTTGCACTCTAACACTTGTTCTCTTATAACTCATCCTTTGTAGAGTGGATTATCCTGGAACTTTTATTTAACCTTTCTTGCTACTGTTTTGAGTCGTCATCCACCTTGGTGTCTAGTTATTTGTTCTCTCGGTCATTTTAGTTTCCTGTTGGGAGCTTGTCTTTGAGGCCTGGCCTCTGGTGCCACCTAGGGCCCCCTGTGAGATTGGGACTGCCTGTGTGCAGGAAGCCAGAGACATAGGCTGCTTTTCCATCTGGTTTTTCCATCTGGCTTTTCCATGTACTTTTCTCCCTTGTATGTTTTCTCCCTCTCGACTTTTTCCACATTGACGGCAAAACGTTTGAAAACCAGGAGCTTCCTGCATCCACAATGCTACTATTATGCCGCAGTCCCAGGTAATAGGCACATGGCTGTTAACTTAGCACTTGCCACATACTGTTCCTGATCCCAGGACTAGGCTAGCTCATTTTTTTCTCCGGTCTTCTTCTCTCTGAATGAAGATCACTGTTGTCCTCACCACCATGATCATTCATGAGGATTCATGAATGGGGAGACTGTAGTGTTGGAGAATTCACTTAGAGCTTGATATGGGGGCCCCTATGTGTGGCTCCAGAGATCACCACATAGCCATGTCTGTCCAGTGTGTATCCTCCCCTCTGGTCTCTGAATCATGGTCCTCCTCTGAGAGTCATCTCCCCTTAGATGGGCTTCTGCCAGTATCACCACCTTTGAAATAGAGCAGAATTTCAAAAATCATTTTATTTTGAGACTGGGCTGAGTAGAAGAATAGCAGGAAGGAATACTGTGAAGCTATTTTTTTTAAAAATATAAACCTAAATCCAAATCTGAATCTGTTAGCAGACTTTGTGATATAGCAATAATGGGATGTCTGATCCTCTAGATTAAAAATTGTAATGACCAGGCTGGGAAGGTGGCTCAGTG